CCTGTAACTTTAAAAATAAAGTAAAGAGACAAATACAGGATGAAATAGTGCCCATAAAGGAAGAAACAGATTCAATAGCTGAACAGGATGAGGAAGATGAACAGGTAGTAGTTCAACAAAGTCCTCCTGTAAGCCCTGTAATTCCCAGAAGAACTACACGTATATCTAGACCGCCTGATAGGTACCAGGCTAACACAGTGTGCCAGATTAATCAAGTTCCTAATTCTGTTGAAGAAATTAAAAAGTATCCTAATAAGGAAAAAGAAAAATGGTATGCAGCAATGAATAAGGAACTGAATTCATTAAGTGATATGAAGGTGTATGAAAATGCCAAATTACCTGCAGGAAAGAAATCCATTGGCTGCAAATGGATATTTAAGATAAAAATAGATAAAGATGGTAATTTAATCCATAAGGCAAGGTTAGTAGCCCAAGGTTTTAGGCAGAATGCTAATGATTATGATGAGGTGTTTGCATCTAGTCTTAAGGCAGCAACCTTGAGAGCAGCTTTAGTGTGGGCAGCTAGTAAAAACTATATAGTTAACCATCTAGATGTGGAAACTGCTTACTTGCACGCCCCATTAAAACATATTATTTATATGAATAAACCTGTTGGTATTAAAAGTGAAAGTAAGGATAATAATGATTGTTGGTTGTTAAAGAAAAGCCTCTATGGTCTTAAACAATCAGGCTATGAATGGAACCAGTATATTGTAAAGGAACTAGACAATATAGGATTTAAAGCTGGTTTAGCCGATCCATGTCTGTTTAAGAGGGAGACAAATGGGAAAGTATCATTATTATTACTATTCACAGATGACATTGCATTGATAACTGAAACTAATGATGAAGCAAATAAAATAATAGCATCATTAGGAAAGAGAATAAAGATCAAGCAATTAGGGGAGATAAAGAAGTATCTCGGTTTGAATATAAAGAAAACACGGAAAGGTTTTAAGATATCTCAGGAAGATAAGATAAGCAAATTGCTAAAAGATTACAAGATGGAGCTTTGTAAGCCAGCTAAGACTCCAATGAGTCAGGAGTTTAGCAACACTGATGAACAAAGCCCTGAGTTTGATAAGGTGATTTATCAATCTTTAATTGGTAGTTTGAGTTATATTAGTAATTGGTCTAGACCAGATATATCGTACTGTGTGAATCAGTTGGCTAGATTCAATTCTGCACCATGTGAAAGACACTGGAATGCAGCTAAGAGGATATTAAGATATCTTAAAAAGACAATGAATTATTCATTGTATTTAGAACCAAAGGGTGATTTAATTTTGAGTGCTTATGCAGATGCTAGCTTTGCATCAGAAAGAGACACTAGAAAGTCGACTTCAGGAACAGCCATAATGCTGGGTAATACATTAATAGGCTGGAAGTCAATAAGACAACAGCATATAAGTTTGTCTACTATGGAGGCAGAATTCTCCTGTTTATCATTGTTATGTACAGAATTAATAATGTATAAACAAATGTTAATTGATATAGGTATAACTGTAGATTATCCTATAATTATACATGAAGATAATCAGGCAGCAATTCAAATGGCCACAAATATTGGAGTAAAAACAAGGAGCAAGCATACAGATCTAAGATACCTAAACGTGAGACAATCTGTAAGAAGTAAGATGATTCAGCTAGAGTACTGTATGTCGGAGGACAATTTAGCTGATAATTTTACTAAAGCCCAAGGTGCCAGTAAGCACCAGGAGAGTTGTGAAAAATATGGGATAAGATTGTAAAGGAATTATATATTTATTTCACCCAAAAGGGGAGTATGTTAGGTATAACATTGATACCAAATATGGTTTGGGTGAATAAATAT